CCAAGAGATGCTTGAACAGCCTCTCGGACCGCAAAAAGTAGAAAGTGGACACCATCATCCTAGTCTCTGTCAAATTGAAGACAAAAAGTTCTAATCATGTTCTTCAATGTATGATGAAAACGTTATAAGGCATCTTGAGATTCTGGATGATAAGCACTGGACATATACTTCGCAATCCCTAACTGGTAAACGACCTGCTGAAATAAACCTGACATAAAATTTGAACCCTGGTCGGACTGTATAGACTTCGGAAGTCCTACTAGCGTGAAAAATTTGTTTAGAACTTTGACAATAGTTGGTGTCTTGGTATTCCTTAGCTGAATAGCCTCAGGAAAACAAGAGGATGTACACATGATCGTCAATAAATACGCATTTTCAGTCTTGGTCTTCGGTAAAAGTCCAACGTAATCAATGGTTACTCGACTGAAAGGTTCTTCAAAGACTGGAATTGGTAAAAGTGGTGCTGGTGGTATTTTCTGGTTAAGCTTACCAACAATCTTGCATTTATGGGATAATTTACAATATTCTGTGACATCATTTCAAAGTCTGGGCCAGTAGAAATATTGCAAGATCTTAAGGCAAGTCTTCCTGATACCTAAATGTCCAGCCAAGTGTGTGTCATGAGCAAGACCAATAGTGTCTAACCTATAGACTTTAGGCACCACCACGCGGTATACCACTCTCTATTCCTCCTCTGAGATAGCATCAGGGAGCCTCCACTTCCTCATTAAAATGCCGTCTTGATGGTAGCAACATTCGGCCACGTTGTCTGCTTCCTCCTGTGGTTGAGCCCTCTTACATTCTTGTTAGTACTGTTATGGCCTTTTCTGAGCTACCGGAACCTTTAAAGTCGGCAAGGAAATTGTCAAAAAGGTCGCTGTAATCAAACTGGTCTTCTTGTAAATCCTCATTTTGTTGTTTTCTAGCCATCGCCCTACTAACAATAAAAGATGGATACAGTTCAGCATCATCTTCAGGTGAGTTAACATCCACCACCGGTTCACTGGTAACAATTGGTTCAGCAACCACTTTGTTCCTGGCTGGACCATTTCCTAGCAATAATGAAACAACTGCATCAGGGAGATTATGACGAACACTCAAAAAACTGGTCCAGTAATCAAATCTGACTTCAGATAAATACGATGGAGGTGAACATCTTTTTTCTTACAATAAGCACAAGTTAGTGACTTCTCTCAAAAGTATCAAGTTTTGAACTAGACATATTATAACTAGACTGAATCTTATTCTGTGTAACAGGCTTACTCATCAGTACGTTCAGTACTTTGATTTTTGTCATTTCCGCTCGAAGTATTTAAATTTTGACCTTTGAAACTTCTCTTATGTGAAAAAGTATAATTATAGGAAATAACAGCTGCACCTTGCAATGTCTCAATAGTTTTGTCATCTAAATGTGTTTTTAAGTCTAAATGAACACACTGCTTGAAGACTTCTAATAACATTAAATGTCTTATTTTATCAAAATTGTTATCTATTTTCTTTCACGTAGGCCATTTATCAAATAGATGTTCTTTTTCCCTAGAAAAAGTTCAACATAGATTTGTGAATCAAACTTTTTGACAAGACGTAATTTCTGTCTATACGCTTCTAGCACTAGCTCATAAGCTTTCAAAACTTTCTGTTTTACAGTGTCATAATCAGAACTTTTTTCTGATGAAAGTGCTGAGTAAATTTCAGCGGCGTTGCCCTCAAAAACACTTTGCAGCATTGTAGTCCAAAAAGGCTTTGGCTATTTCAAGCTTTGAGCAATTTTCTCAAACTGTAGAAAAAAATTATCAACTATTTTTTCACAAAATTTGGGAACCAAATGTATATATTTTGCTGCATCAAAATGTTCTGATTTTGACTCTACTTTAGTGTTGCTTTCTACTTTGACCATTTCTATCTTAATTTTCTCCATCTGTAACCTCATTGCACGTTCTGTCTGTCTTTCTTCTTTGTTTTAATTTAAATTCATGTTTTAATTCAAGCTGTTTTAATTTGATTGCATCTACATTTTCTACCTCGAGTTCAAGAGCCTCTTCACCACAAATGTCTAAGTCAATTAAATTATCTATTACCAAATGTTTTATAATTTGTTTTCTCATAGATACTCTAAAATCTACTTTCAGATGTTTAGCAAGCACCACTAATTCTTCTTTCTTTAGTTTATCAAACCCTTTCAGGTCTGGTTTTTTTAAAACTTTACTAGCATCAAATACAATATTGTTGAATTTTGTTGGCTAATTCTAATTCAATAAAAATACTGAAAAAAATATAACCTGATATTAACGTTATCCCGGACGAGCCCCAAATTTCTGGTCGGCCAAAAAGCACCTTTAAATTGTGGCTTACAATAGACACAAATCAATAAAAAGATTTAACAAGATTTATTATACACAAGTTTACAAGAATATTATACAAATTGAAATGTCAACTTAACTGTTAAATATATGTCCGATCCTTTTGTCTTTTGTTTATCTGGAATTCCTCTCTTCACTGTTGCGGGAATCCAAACATAATATTATGTCCAATAAGTCACAATCTAATATGATGTAGTTAACGTAAATAAAAGTGTTAATCCAACATCTGAGAACACAAGAATGTTAATGTCTAATATGAAAGTCTAACTTTAGTGTCTGTATATATGAATAGTTGTCACGGAAATCTCTAGAACACTGTAGAAGCGAACTTCTGGAAAATTGTAGAACGGAAACTTCTAGAAAACGGTCGAAGTTTTAATTACACATCTTAGATTATGATCATTCCAGAATTATTATGTAAGTCAAATAGAAAGTTCTAATCATTTCATCAGTATCTATGATTGTTCCAGATAGCGGATTGGGAGTCCAAGATCACGGATTGGGAGTCCAAGATCACGGATTATCAATCCTAGATTACGGATTATTAATCCGGGATCTCGGATTATTAATCCGGGATCTCGAATTATTAATCCGGGATCTCGGATTATTAATCCGAGATTACGGATTGGGAATAAAAAATCACAGATTATTTATCCTTTATCTCGGATTGGAAATCCAAGATCGTGGATTAATATTATTTTCTTAGTGTCCCTTTAAGCCTTCCGTATCTCCAGTTATAACATAATCAACGGAACTATATTTGTATCGGGAAAATCAACCACATCAATCGGAATGATTGAAACTTACCTCGTTGGCTGTAAATGTCTATGACTACGTCTTAAAATAAGATGTTACAATATGATGTAAGCTTAATTATTTGTTCCTTTCAATGAAATCGCTAAACAATATATAAATCTGGTATTTAAGTAAAATATAGATCAATCATTTTCAGCTTTTTTCAAACCTATAAATAATTGAGTCCCCCGGTCTACTTTTACAGGACAACATATGCTTCTAAATACAATGTATAGGCGTGTCAAATGTCTTAAAATGTATAATCCATAAATGATGGTTTTCATTATGACATCTCAAATAAGTAGTTTATTACGCTGTTGTCAAAAGACATATAAAGAGGAGTCACTACCAAAGGTTTAATATAAATGTTTTGCAATGAGACATATCGATCGCATCAACAACGAAATCACCGTGTCGAATAGGTGGACATCTATAAAGCAAACAGAGGGCCTCTGTAGACTAGTGGTTTAAGTAGTTGAACTACTATATCACTTACTTGTCAACACTGAGGTTGTGAGTTTGAATCACGCACGGGGCAAGTGTACTCCAATCCAATCTTAATTGACTAGGATTGTCAGTTTTCCTACCGATGGTCGGTGATTCTTTCTTGGCACTCCGTTATCCTCAACAACTAATAACTGACCGCAACGAAAGAGCACAATAATCCTGAAATTCGCCTGAAACTCTAATCAATCAATATTAGGCAAACAAGCTGATACATGTGTTATATAAAAGGTTGTTTCTTAGCTTAGTGAATTATTTCTATTTCTATCATTATACAAATATTAAACAAAACTTACTTTTTCAAAATGTTTGATATAAAGAAAGGAGAAAATATATATTTGTCTAGCCCTATGTCATAGCATGGATTTATATCACAGTATCTTAAATACGACTAAATCAAGTGAAGCATGACATGATTTATTGAACCACATCTAGAAATAGCGTGAATATTTTTTGTGATTCTGTTTGCTTTAAGCTGGGCACCATTGCGTTGAGTTTTACCCCGGTAAATCTGGTCGGAATGTCACGAATGGACTGTTGTTATAAAAAAAAGCTGCAGAATGTGACCTACATGGATTAATATGTTCCAGCTTTCAACTACGTTATTTTGTTTCTCAACAAACTCGTTTTTGGAAATGACAATAACCAAAAGATTGTGATTTTTTAATCTGATCTGTTTTATGTTTTGTAAAAAATGAAAACAACAATTTATGAATTGCATGTGTCCGAAGCGATTTTCAAGTTTCACCTTCATAAAAAAACTCAAAGCCAAGGATGTATAAGATCCGAAACAGTTGAAGAGCTATATAACCAAAACGGACATAATACTAATAGCTAAATCCACCTTAGTTCAACTTTGTCTGAGAGAGTTGAAATCTTAGTTACTTAATAATTATTATATTCATAAATGGACAATTGTAACTTCTGATGACAAACCGTATGACCTTGTCTTGATCAATGAAAGACTATTCCAAAAAAAAAATTCTTTGAGTTGATGCCACTGCTGGGTGACGATTCGTACGCGAGGATACATGTACATTGTCGTTGATTTATCTGTAAATTTACTGTTTATAAAGTGTAGACTTATTCGAACCACTACCGTTTTTCTACCTTAGGTATATGTTGTCTGGCCTTATTTGGCACATTATTTTAGAACTTCTGGGTTTTGATTCGACCACCACTGATGAGTTCTCTAATGACAAATCAACTGATGCGTTTTATGACAAATCATATCTTTTTAGATTATTGTGTTTTTATCATCAATTGTGTTTTAATCTATTGGAAAACATGCATAAATTGACAGATATATTTTTTCATTTGTATTTGCTACTTGTTTTGTAGATAACCTTACACCGTTTGGCAAAGCTAGTCAAAGTTCTCAATTCATTACAGCAAGACCTACAAATGCCATACATACACCTATATCAAATACATTTTCCTTTTCTCACTGTTCCCACACGAATATTGAGAAAACAGCGGCTTGGTGGATGTTTCAATTGTCTTTCGGAACTGCTTACATTACAGATATAACAATCTACTACAGGGAAAAATGTAAGTATCCCCAAGACATATAAAATTATGAATATCAACTTAATATGTTAATATATTTACATGTAAAGTTGTCGAGCTACTGAGCACAATACTGTGTAATATAATACAATATACATGGAATGTGTGGTAGTATCTCTAGAGCAACATCGTAGATGTCAAATCACAACAAACTTTTCTTATAGGGGCGAAGGGACGATCGAAATAATATGTCGAAGAGACAATTCAATCGCAGAAAAAGAATAACAAAGACAAAAATAAAAACAGTAGTATAAACACACTGCATGGAAATTTAAGGACTAAGCAACACGAACCTAAACTAAACGTTTAAGCAATGAATAAGACCGGCATTAGAAAAAGGACAGATTTCGATATACATGACTAAATTGAGACTAAATTAAGAAATTTCATTTTCGTGACTGTAATAGAACTTGACCGAAAAGGAAATTGTTGTAGTTTAAAACCAATTATTTTAAGATTGAAACTTGATAAATAACATGTTATAAATAATGGTCTGTTTTGTTTGAGATACTTATGTGTTGTTCGAAATTCCTCACAGCATCATAACACAGTACTGTTATTGAATCCGCTTGCTTATTATGTGGGTGTTCCAACCAAAATATTCAGAAACGTTTATCCCTTTTCTCTTTTTTTTCGTCTTTTCTTTCTTAACAATGAATTCTCCTACCCTTATTTTGGGAACAGCAAAAGATGGCAACTCTATACTCGACATAGTGTTCGGTCAATAACCATGATACCGTAAGTTGTTTATTTTAACATGTTTTATTGAAGCAGGAGGCCAACTAGGCACAATTTCATTGACCCAGACAAAAATGATGGAAATTGTTTTAAATCTATTTTAGCATATGGCTTCTACAGGTAACACAAAACAAGAGACCAATGGGTTATTTGTTGCTTGGAGTTTACTGGTTTTATTCTAACATATAATTGCATGAATTTCTTCATAGAAAAAAAAGTGGTCAGGGCAATAGACCACTTCATACTTAGCTAAGCATTCATGTGCGTTATCTGTAATCATAAGATTTATTTTCTAGCACTGGGTCGAAACCGCAACAGGTATAGTATTAGTTCCCAAATGTATCTGCAGATCGGTTGTCAGTGCTTCGGTAATTACCTTATCTATAACAAACCTTAAGTAAATTCTTCGTTCATAAATAAAGATGATTTTTTAAATTAAGTCTGGATCTCTAATGGATTTCATTATGATGTCAGGCTCGTTTTGTCATGTAGCTATCATATTTTACGGTCCTAATACATCATTTGCTATCAAATGATTGCTTTTTAACGTTCCTGATGAAGATAAATCTAGACTTGTAGAACAGCGCGTCGGACGAGTACAATTTATAAAGAGTTATTTTCATTTATTATTGTTTCCATATGTGGATCAAGATGGATTAGCCACCATTTAAAACCCTCTCTTTCCTCGTTTTGCAAACCCCGTTATCTTAGTGAATTATCTTCTCACCCTATTAATTGTTTTATCCGCGTCTGTTTCTCATTCATTTTTTTTTTATTTTTGAAGAGATATTCAGCTAAAGGTTGAAGGCCGTACGGTGACCTATAGTTGTTAATTTCTGCGTCATTTGGTCTCTAGGGAGAGTTGTCTCATTGGCAATCATACCACATCTTCTTTTTTATACACAATTATACAAAATACCTGTTGTTTCTACTTATAGCAAAAAGTTCATCACAAAACACAGGATTTATTAAAATGCAATAGGCAAGCGAAACGTGACCAATACAGTAGTTTTTCTTTAAAGTTATATTATTTAGCATGTCGTTGTGTTTAAATATAAGAATACGAATATATCGTTTCACTTGTTTCATTCCAATTTGGAATAAGTTGTACAAATATTCTCAAATACGATGATGGCCTTTCAGTCATCGGCTACGATTTAAACTAATACTGGTGTAATTTGTGTTACAGTTGCGCGTCGCATGGATGGATTTAAGTTATTTGTGACCAATACATCAACCATTCCACCTAATGGTTATCTTTGCTATGAGGATCCTGATCCAGGTCTGCCAAACATCACTCAGACTATTCCTTGTAATCAACTTGGGCAGTATGTCATTTATTTCGATAATAAAGGATCCCGGGAGAATGAAACTCGCTACGATGGACCTGTAGTTGAACTGTGTTATGTTGCCATTAATGGTGGGTTAAGCGCCATTGTGTAAGGTGCTTTCATTTTCATTATGCAAGCTTCAATCTCAATGCGCCAATGGCTAAATCTTTTAAATGGTTTGTTGTTTAGGTTCTATCTAACATGTATAATATGGAAACGCTAAAAAAAAACCAATAAAAACACAAACTATTTTTACCACAATATCTAGTTGCAGCGTTTATAGTTCAAAAATTGTTGTTTTTTTTAACTTTATTAAAAATGAATAAACGAACAAATGAAAAAAAATAATAACCACGAACGAATACAATATTACGCAGAACGAGGTATGCTTCAAGTAATCCCTGCATTCAGTATAAACGTTTTTTTTTTTAAACGGATCATATCCTGTATGCATCTTGCATTATGTTTGAAACATTGGTGCATGGTATGGACATCAGCAAGAAAAATGTTTCAATAACACCACATTTTTGTAATTACTCATCTATATCTATGTGTGTCGCTTCTCTTCCTTCCACAATGAATTAATCATCATGCCTCTGTGTCCAATAGGTACCATGCATAGTCTCATTTGTTATCCTCACTTATGATTTTCCCGTTTGGGTTTTTTTGGGAGGAAAACGAAACTAAAGGCGTCCGGGTATTGTTTACGTCATCGGACGGACTTTTAAGTCATAGACAAGACTTCCGTTTAGGACTGTTTAAAATTACACAGAATTTCGGTAAATTTACAAACATCAAAATAATTCATGCATTCTAAGATTTGTTTTCATTTTCACATAGCATGGGTCGTTATATTCGTTAATTGTATCCCTTGCTTACGCAAAATTCCAATATAACGACTCAGGCCATGTAAAAAAATTCAATAACTCTATGGCTTGCATGAATTATTTCTTAAATAAAACATGATTATATACCGGTTTCAGGGGTCCCAACAAATCGGATTTTTATCGCTTCCAGGGTCCAAAGGAATGTTTAATACCAGTTCCTGTAGCGCAGATACCCAAAACATTGTAAGTTATCAAGTTAGGAATTAAGGGTTTTTGTAAATTTACTAAAATTTGGTGTAATTTTAAACAGTGCAAAAAGTTGTGAGTTCATCTTACTACAAATAGTTGACCTTTTCGTTGACCTTCTTTAGATTTACATCCAATACATTGTATTTTGAACTGGTGAAAAATTCAAAATGTTATATTGACATCAGTTCATGTTTAAGATAATTTTGATACCTTTCCTGAAATTCTCCAGTCATAAAATATTTTACAAAAATTCAATCTACAACAGTTTACATACTTTCAATCACGCTCTAAATGCTCGCAATTTCGCGGGTGTGTTCTAGTTTATAATTAAAAACTAGAGAAACTAAATCTTCTAATATGTTTCAATAATAACAGGAGATATAATCTCGAGGGATAGTATAGCATCTACGTTTTCCTATTGATGATGGAATGCTATTTATTGGAAATTCACGAATTTAATATTACAAAAGTTGCTTAAATTGAAACTAAGCAGATTTATGTTTAGTTAAAATTGAATGTGTTCTCTGCTTTAAGTCTGTAAATTTTGATTAATACTAAAATGTTGAACGTTATTGGCCGTTTTTGCAATTTTCAACTGCAGATAAATGTTGTAGTTACAGGTCACTGCCAACATATTTGTATGAAAACAACTAAATTAATGATGGTGTCCAAAGATAAATAAAGCTTGCCTGAATTTCGTATCATGATTTCTTTGATAATGGGTTACTGCTTACAAAGAAAGTATTACACCAAATTTTCCAAGTAATGAAGGTGGTGTAATCTATCTGTCACGAATTGTTTGACCGTGATGGAATTTCTGTCTCATAGCTGACGACAGATATGTTTCAAATGTCGTAACCACACTACTGTCATCTGTTCCTCGAATGTGACATCACCCTTTAAGACTTTTAGATTGAATTTGTCCTTATATCAGCAGCACGAAGCTTACCCCATGTAGATCAGGATTTAATTACCTTTCAGAACATCTGCGACCACCCTGTTCCTTTGTGGTTCATGTTGCCCAAACTTTAAGTTGCTATGTTGTGTTTGTAGACATTTTTTTTTCTTTTGGTTGTTTTTCAATTTTTCCATGAAAAACGAACAAAACCTTTGTTTTCAAAGTCGTTCGGTTAGATAAACGTAGAACGTATTATATGGTCAACGCTCTCGTTATCATATTTTTGTTACAAGAAGCTTTTGTTTGTTTTTTTTCAGGTTGTCAAAAGAGCTTTTGGGGTAATAACTGTGGTAACAAATGTTCCAAAAATTGCATAGGGCGACTTTGCCACCCCACAAATGGTTCTTGTGTTTGGGGTTGTAACACTAAACATTGTTTAAATGATATTTGCGATATACAAACTGCAGTTTGCACTGATGGTTGCAAGGAAAGACGAACCGGAAACTATTGTAACAAGTGTAAGTAATTGTGCGTATAATAACTTTGAAATAGCATTACATTTCCTCCTGCAACAATTATAATTGATAACGAAAAGTTTAAAGAAAAACCTTCCCTTTGTTGGCTTATAAAAGAAACACATAACATACAATGTGTTTTTTTTTAGTTTTTAATGATGATTGTATGGAACGACTAACCGGAAACGATGTGTCATATATCTGTATGTACTCGCATTAAATTTTAGAAACAGCACTATGTTTTCTAGTGCAATAACCGTAATTTAAAAAAAGTTTGTTTACATGCTATAAATAACTTTGTTACCTTCTTAAGCTTACGGAGGATATTTAGTTTACATCCAGTAGCCAAAAGTTTGCTCTTTGCTATTTTTACAATTCAAACCTGCATGTATATATCGCCAGATTAATCACGAATAAGTATATGTCTAATAAAAGCATATGTTTTAAGTTGGCCTTCAATATATCTAAATACAAATAATTCTAGATACATCTTGTTATAGATAACATTGCTTCTGACGGTTTAATCGTGCAGACTCCAAGTGGTAGTCAGCGGGCAAGTCTAGCAAATGATGGCAACAACAAATCATGTTCTAAAACAAAGGGACTAACCGTAACATTTCAAGTTGACCTTCAGAAAGAAAGCATTGTAACTGGAGTGCATATAAACTTTGGTGGTATGTAACTTAAATGTTTACAATTTAATCTCTATTTCAAAAGTGCATATAAACCGTTTTATTACTTTCATGGTAACAACTTAAAAACATAACCGGTACCAATTTTACTGCACAGAAGTCCATTTCAATTATAAATTCATTGAGGCCCAAATACTTTAAAATCCAAACTTTATTAAAAAAAATCGGAGAGCTAATAACCAAAAGGAATTAAAAGTTTAGCAAAGTATAGTACATGTTTAACCCCGCCGCATTGTTGTGTCTGTCCCAAGTCAGAAAACTCTGGCCTTTGTAAGTCTTGTTTGTGTTTTTTAATTTTGGTTCATTTATATGTTTTGGAGTTTAGTATGCCGTCCAGTGTCGCTGAACTAGTATACATTATTGTTTAGGGGCCAGATGAAGCCCGAGTGCGGAATTTTTTCGCTGTGTTGAAGACCCATTGGTTGTCTCGGGCTGTTTTCTGCTCTTTGGTCGGTTAATTGTCTCTTTGGCACATTCTCTATTTCCATTCTCAATTTTATTAACTTTGCAATGAAATGTTGCAAGCCAAATGATATATAATCAAATTGTTTTCAGTACCAAAAACTCGTTCTCAATTAAACCTGCTCTATTAGTGTTTTATTGAACAATGTTTATTACACAGTGAAATGATCAAAGTTGCTATAAATCCATTAAATTCTCATTTGAGAACAGATTTTGTCTCGTCTAAAGTCACCAAACATCAGATGATTTGTTCAAATTGCTATAACGCAAAAAAAAAAAAAAGTGAAAACCGTATTCATTTTATTACTTCCGTTCCCATTTGAATTAAAAAATAAATTACATAATAATTGCCACAGATTTTATCTGTTTGTAAAATAAAGTCAAAACGTTCATTACCGATGTTAAAATCTCATAAATCCATGAGGAAAACATATCAAGGTTACAAACACAAACTGTAGAAATTGCATCCAAAAGGAGGGAGTCAACGTTTTTTTTATGCATGCACATCTGCCATGTCAAAATGTCAAAATGTTACACCCGGTATTAAAACTAATTACAGCGCCTGGAATATAGTTTCCAACTATGTCGCTGCTCTTTCAATGGCCACCATCAATAATCATACACACAAAAAATGTCTATATCGTCATTCCAACAATTTGCGGTTTTTTTTATTACTCTGAAATTGTAAGCATTGTTAAAGGTTGTCAATAGACATTTGATTCTATGTTGAGAACACAATATCAAAAACAAAAAAATATATGTTTCCAACGGTAAAACACATCATCTGTTGTTCATACAGTATTTACACATTCCCTTTTTCAAGGGCAAAAACAAAATATCGATGTATTTTTATTAGGAGATTTGCAATAATCAAGGTTATTACGTATTTATTTAATGATCGCAGAGAAGCGGCAAATAACGATTAAATTATTCGGATTAACTGTTGGTCATAAAAACTAACCAAAGACAACTACGTTAAAAAATATTGCATACGTTTGTAACGTAGAAATCACCAAAAAAAGATTAAATGTTATCCGTTCTAGAAATACTATCAGCCAAATTTTTAATTTAAAGGGCGCTGACTAATATGATCGTTTCTATTGTAGATTGTTATTTTTTTCTTTCTGATGTGCAATGAGCACACAGGTTATTGACCTTTTCAAGGCGCCCGAATTTGATGATGCTTTATCCCCTATTCATTGCAAATATGTTGTTGTTCTAAACAACAAAGCCTCAAACAATATTGTTTTATATGCCAAAATAATTATTTTGAATGTCTCAATAAAGAACTTGGCATTCATAACAAATTTGGAATCCCACTTAAACCCTTACATTAACTATGAAAGAGTAAATGTTGAAAATTCCGAAATTTAGTATTATCATTAAACAGGACTACGATCATATGACATCGGTATACCATATACCTAAACCAAACAACTATCCTTATAAAGAACACAATTCCTTCTACAGTAACGTATAACCTTTAGACATATTGGCATGAGGTATATTCGACCAGCGGTGTCAAATCAGATTTAAATTGCTTGAAATTATAATAATTTATACACAATAATTATAATATTATATTTCATTCAAAACAAAACCTTTGATTTGTTATCGCTTTACACTATCTTAACAGCTGAATTGAAAGACCGAATAGATCCTCTCTTTCAACAGAGCTTTTTCTATAAAAATGGGAAACATTGGTACAATTTTCTTGTTTAAGGTCATAATTCATAAAACAAATACATTTTGTTCTTAGTTTGGTTGATTGATATATTTCAGCACGCAGTCGATATTCAAATGAGTACTTATTGTGCATTACTATTGGTTTTTGTACACATGAAGCACAATTCGATTATAGAGAATCTTCCCTTAGACAAAAAAAAACACAAAAAGCATCTTGCAAAGTTCTTTAATTTCACTTGCATATATATTGATGATTTCCTGGCACTCATTAATCCAAATTTCAGTGAGTGTTTACATCTCATATATATCAAAATGAACTAAATATTAAGGATTCTTCTGACAGTAGAAGTTTTTCATTATATATTGATCTTTTCTGCGATATTGACACAGATGGACGACTTTAAACTATAATCTATGAACATGTGATTATTTCAATTTTTCAGTTGTCAACTTTTAATTTCACAACAGCATCATACCCTCTGTTCCATCGTATGGCCTTTACATATCGTAGTTTATACGTTATGCATGTTCATGTTTACATTTTACGGACTTTGTTAACAGATGTGCGCTCTTTGCACAATAGTTACTCCAACAGAGCTAGAAGGAAGATCGACTAACATCGGCACTGCATAAGTTTTACGGTTACCATTACTATTTAGTTGACCGATACGATGTGTCGGTGTTTCAACATCCTGGCGATTTGTTTTTGCTAGATACCAGTATGGTCGTCTGATATGTAATTTTGAGTTCATGCGATTCACTCATTTTTTGATTCTTAAATTGCTTTGTTTTTTTCTTACCAAACTTTGACATCAGTAAACTACTGCCACCTTAATTATAAAATACAAAACCTTTAGCTATCAAATTCGAGTTTACCCCTATTTCATGTCATGGTAGTCTATTTATTTGATACATATCAAAGTACGTTATAAACGACTCATTGGTTCTTTTTCTATTAAAATGAATTATGTTCTTCCTTGTGCTGTTTGAGGATTTTATTTTTCAAAGCAGACTAGTATACTACATTAACTAAAAATAAATAAACCTTTACATTTGCACAACATACTCTGCATAATCTACCATGTAATCCTCTCCAAGTACAGTAGTGACAAGTAATAATGGCTGATGTTCCCGGTATCTTAGTTATCGTAAATATGCATGAATGTCCATTTAAACTATTTTTACTCCAATTAAAACAAGGAAATATAAAGAAATAAGAAAAATTTAAATTAATATTTATGCTAACATTACAGAATATTGAAACCAATCAGTATAGAAAAAATCAGACAGAATACATCAATAGTGATACAAATATTATATCAATCTGTTTTGAGACATTACTGAACAAAATCAGAAAGAATAATTTGTAGTGTACTCGTAATGAATATTGTTATTACTAAGTTGAGAGTCTGACGTCATTTTGCTTTATTTTCAGAAAGTACTACACGGGAGGGAAATCATACTCTTTACGCTTCAAATACAAGCACTTCCTGGAAATGTGGAACCATTTTATATAAAGAAACCTCTTTGCCTACTGAGATCCACTTTTATGCCGTTTTTAGATACCTGACTTATGTACCCCCAGTCAAGAAAGCAATATCTGAACTCGAAGTATGTGAAATTGGAATTGTTGGTGAGTGTTTTTATCGAAAAAAGAGAAATATTTATATGTTTAGAGTTGACATGGATCTGTGTGAAGTATATCTTACCATAACAGAATTAAGAGACTATTGTAAACTTCTATATCGGTATTGCATTTGAAAAGGGAGCACACAATTTGTCTTATATACTGATTATGGTTAGTGTAAGAAACCGTTTCCGCACTGAATTCAGAGTAGAAAACACCAATATTCTTTTTGAGGTCGTCACCACGAAAATAATAATTATTTTTTGTCTAAGTTTAAGTCAACCCTGATTTACACTCATTTCCATTAAAAAAGAAAAAAAAAGTTATAGCGGCATATTAAATGGATCATTATACTTTTTTTATTAATTTTTCTTTTTCATTTGAATTCCTTGACCTCGGGGTCAAGACAGCTTAAATAGACTCGATACAAATATTGTACCTGACAAAGTTGGGGATATTGGACATTCACCTTGCCGTCCATCTTTTTGTCTTACCGTCCGGCTGTCCGTTCATCAAATATTTCATCTACAACTTTATTACACAATTTATACAAAACAGAATGTTCATCTGTTGGTTTCAAAATATATCAGGTCTGTCAATCACCTACTTTATGTTTGCCTATACATAATGTTGTTCTCAATATGCTAAAAGTGCTTTGTCACTGTTTTCGCCTGTAACAATTAACGGAAATACTTTGTACTTAGTCAGCAACTTTGCAGTGATGACTTGTAATGTATGAGTCGACTATGAATTCTCCATGTATACCAAACCTTCTGGTTTCCGATACCTTGGTGGACTAGTAAAAGTATCACGAGAGCGCATTCATTATTTTTTAACTTGTAATACGTAGAATAAATAGTAGCGAATCGAATGCAAAGTTTTCTCAAGAAATAGGATCGTAATAAGTCGAACCATGTTTGCAGCTTATTTATTTATAACAGTGCGTTATAATCTTATATCGATTTAGTAGCAAGTGGTAACCTCAGTAATAAAATAAGTGCGAACCTTGTGCCGAAAAGGCTCTCCTAGTTAAAAATCGGCCAAATGATTATACTTCTTTCAAAATGCACGTGATGCTATACAATTGTATGTATCAGTCACGTTGCTTTGTACATTAAAACAGTCACAAATCTAGATAGTATGACAGTAAAATTAAAAGCCTCGAATATTAAGTCTATTGTATCAAAATAATAAATGTTTCAAGTTGATGAAGAGACACGTAAGGACGTGAAATAGAACTATTTTTGTATAGATTGTCCAATAAATCGTCAAAATTTAAAACTCAAATAGGCAATTAGTAGAGATTTTGCTGAAATCGTCTTGACGTCTACAAAATTAAAGCCCGGAAAAAGAAGAGGGCAGGTCTTCGACAAGCTAAATATTCAAGTAGAATATCTTAAATGTTATAACACACACTCCATTAAAAGATTTGTTATCGACGCATGCATGTTTCCGGTAAAACACATTAATGAAAGTCTAACTGTTTTTATTGACTTTTCGTGGAAAATCAAAATGAGTGAAAATAGTGACGTCATGAAATCAACGCAAATATTTCCAATTCGATCATTGTTTTAGCTATAATTCATTGTGATATTGATTAATACATCATAATTTTAAATTCTAGCTAGAACTACGGGCCATTTATGAGCCTTATCGAACCTAGTCCTCTGGGATGTGCTTGTTTCAAATTACAAGAATAGTGTGTCTCACTCGAATGTGCAATTGTAAATAGTACACTTCCTCATTTACGAAACATCAGTTAAACTATGTGTTATTGTACGTTTCTTATTGCCTTATTGTTTATTTCAGGTGACGCGTTGTGGCTCCCTTGTATTTCTTATTTTGTCGGGAATACTGTTCTCTGCTTTTCTTCAATTTACGTTTCTAACTGCCATTCTAATGCCCTTTTTAATTAGAACTACCAAACATCTTGTAATTTAGAAAAAAGAACGGCATTCTGTATGGATTGTTGAGGAGAAAAGTGATGTTGCTAGCAAAGACATATTGTTGACAGTTATCCTCAAGCAAAATTAAACCTAAAACGGAATTGACATATAGTAAATATATATAACTCTATTTGAAAGGGTGTTTTGCAGTATTTCATACCCGTCGCTTTGGTTTAAGAACAGTCACTGACATGAGAAAATGTTATAGAAATAAAGTACTTGAGTTAGTAATATGTTTATCCTCCAAACATTTTAATGTTTAGGTTGTCCTCCTTCTCTTTACGGTCCTCTCTGTAATCAGTCGTGCCAAGGGAACTGTCGTGGACCATGTGATCTAACCACCGGGCAATGTATATTTGGTTGTTCAAGCGGATGGAGTGGAGATAATTGTAAACAAGGTATTAAAATCCATATGTATCAAATTATATTTTAATTTATTCATGTTAAAGATAATGAAAGTTGAAATGACGAGCACTGGTGTTTCCTTGCTTTAGGGTCCAGTGTCATGAGTAATTACACCATATACATTATTTTTCGTGGTATTTTATTACAAAAAAGTGTATCATACCCTTTTTTTATTTGATCGGTAGCAGCAAAAGCTTGTACTAATTCATTAGCTGTTTAAATGATTAGAATGTACACCGCATATCATTATATGTACAAAATGCAAATTTACTTTATACAGGAAAAGACATAAGAAGACTGTTGACTGCGCTATTCAGATCCTTTTTGGTTTGAACGATATACATTTGTAATTTTATATGTTTCTTGTGTCGGTGTTGTGATATTTGCATTTAAATCATTAGTTGACGTATATGTAATTCTTCATTCTTGCAGAACACCATCTGTAGTTCAGAAAAACAAAATAATCTAAGGAATTCATTGTGTGGACATCTGTAGGTATTCGTGAATGATTAAGATCTGTATTGTTGGTCAAACAAAACAGAGTATGATATTGATTCCTCTTATGAAAGTATATTTTTTGCATGTCAATATATTTATGATAATCAGCTTTTCCACTGTAAAATTTTAACAGCATGCCAAGCTGGTACATACGGTAAAAATTGTCTTGAGACATGTTCATCAAACTGTTTGAATCTACAATGCAATGCAGGGAATGGAGAATGCTTTGAGGGATGTAATGACGGATGGCATGGGTCCGATTGCAAACAAAGTTTGTTTCTTGTTTTTCATTTTAATTAATAAACATGATGTATTTATATGTTAAGAAAGTAACACCTCATTAACTCAAAATTGCATTGGAAAACATGTCCCGATCATCAAATAAGAGCAACATCAACGAGACTATTTTAAGGATTCAAACTGTTCGCACTGTGGTTAAACAATTTTTTCAAATAATTAAGAAGGCCTGGAATTTGCACAAACAAATCGCACTGGGGTTATTCTAAGTGACTGATCAGTAAAAGATGGTACTGAATAAATTCTTAAAAAAATAAGACAGTTGTCACTCGGGATACGGATCCACTGAGTAATATCCATCTGGAGAACCTGAAACCACACCAAATTTTTGTTGAGTTCGCTTTGTTCATTCGTAAGTTTTCTGTGAAGTGTTATCAGTACATTGCTATTGCTATGTTGCTTTATTTTTCGTTTCAGTAATGGCGTTTGTCTTTTTTTCTGAAATCGATTGATCGTGTTTGCATTTTAGAATAATCTGTCAGTATTTAAACAACATTAATATTGGATATTGAAGTCAAATATAAAATGTAAAAGCCAATACTGATCGATTATTTTCAGATTTTGACTTCTGTGTATGTTCAGATGTATCTCTCTAACATATTTTTTTCAGAATGCCCTACAGGTCAATTTGGGAGAAATTGTTCTGAGTTTTGTGAGGGCTGTATTTCAAGAACGTGTGATCCTAGAAATGGAGTATGTGATAACAAAACTGTATGTAACACTGGTTATGTATACGGAAAATACTGTAACATAAGTAAGTAAAGTGTGGTTTTAAATTTTATTAATACCAGTGTAAGCGTTACGAGAAAAAAATGTAATACTAGTGTGCGTTAAAAAAAACGAAACAGTAATAAAAGGAAAGACCTTGAATTAATCTCTGGATGTTTCACATCATTAATAAGTTCATAAAAGAAAGGTGAAAGTTACTAAAGGGACATTCAAGCTCATTAGTCGAAAAAAAATGACAATGCCATGGCAGAAAATAAAAAAAATAAGCAGAAGACAAACAACAGTATATACAATACAACATAAAAAATACTTAACAACATGAACCCTACCAAGTACCGGTGTTAATCTCATTTGCTCCGTTAGGATAAGTAGATCTTTCGTACGTATGGCATAGATGTGTAGCTCGTGTAAAATCAAACTGGGTGATTTATCTGATTCGGTAGGTCACATTCGAGGAACAAAAGGCGTGATTGTAGTTTGGACAATTGAAACACATCCGTCGTTATCTTTGAAACAAATAGCCAATAAAGGTTTACCAACTCGTAATTGCGTCAGTAATATTTTCGAAGGAAAAATGTCATTACTAAGTGATTTTACAAATTGTAAATGATAAAAAAAACTGCAACATTTTAAGAGTGAGTATAAAAAACGAAATAATGACAACATGGCATCGTTTGTGATGGATGATATACAGTTGTCATATGGTTTTTGTTTATCTTGAATCCGTTAGGACATGAGGATGTAATTCAAACACTAGTCAGCGTATACAGTATAAATAGTTCCACAGAGCTGGTTCAAATTAGTCTTGTCCGTCAGAATACTCTGACAATTATAAATAATGTTTACTCTAATCTGTCTTGTATGAATATTATTGATGAAATTAACATGTTATCAAACAGTAGATATTTCAGGAGATGTGAGTTATAAACAAAAAAAGACAGAAATCGAAATATATCTAGAAGTCAAAACACAGAATTTAACATGTTTAATAGAAGACAAATGTGACCACAATATTTCATTCCCTAAACAGTTCTACGTATTTTGTTATTAGGATTAGAATTAACAAAGAAAATAAAAAAAATCTAGCTTCATTCATTTCTCTAAACGACGGACTAAGTTGTTGACGACGGATATGTCTTTTTTATTAATAATATTTTAATATAATGTCATATATCCTTTGGAAGCGTGCTCGTTCTTATGCCTGAATGTTTTGTTTACACATCATTAGTGTATTATAATTGTGAAGCGCATTATGGGTATTGGCCCACCTAGAATAATTCACTGCAGAATAAAAAAAAAAGAATTCATTTGAAAATACCTCTCTATTTAAGTTTTCGCCAAATGTAGCTACATTCATACAACGAAACACTAATCCGGGTTAGCTATGATGATATATGTATGCTTACATTCTAATAAAAACTTCATTTTACAGCATGTAATGATGGTTTTTACGGTAGTAATTGTCTGAAGTTATGCTCATCATTTTGCTTGTATCAACCTTGTAATTACGGAACAGGAGAATGCATTGGTGGATGCGTAAGTGGATTAGAAGGATTCAACTGCACACAAGGTAGATTTCTCTCTCTCATCCTATAAATTTTTTTTATTATTAATTTCATGTTAAAATAGGAAGATTCCTTTTTTTCATTCTGTTCATTTCTAATCATTATTTAAATGTGTTTGTTCATACAATATTTTGATGTATACGGAACGTGTATCGGCGTGGTCATTAATGATTCTGACATATTCAATGATTTTTAACCACTGAGCGGTAGACGCTTTGTCCAGATGGTATCACCAACTGAGAGGTCATTTAGTGCTGATATGTATTATAAAGTCATCGTGTTGTAAATAAACAGAAAGTCCTCAAATTGAGCATAACTATATCTTAATTTTATTTTTATTAGTTTCTGCAAATAAAGAAGACGACAGTTTCATATTATCGACTCAGATTGGTCTTTTCAGTGGAGGTTTTCTGTTAGGTGCTCTGGTTGTAACTGTTGTATGTATTTTAGTTCTGAAAAAACGACAAATCCGTAAAAAACGAGGTAAGGAATATTATATACTTTTTAAGCTCACCTGGCCCAAAGGGCCAAGTGAGCTTTTCTCATCACTTGGCGTCCGTCGTCCGTCGTCGTCATCCGTCGTCGTTTACTTTTACAAAAATCTTCTCCTCTGAAACTACTTTGCCAAATTTAACCAAACTTGGCCACAATCATCATTGGGGTATCTAGTTTAAAAAATGTGTCCGGTGACCCGGCCAACTAACAAAAATAGAACATAGGGGTAAAATGTAGATTTTGGCTTATATCTCTGAAACCAAAACATTTAGAGCAAATCTTACATGGGGTTAAAATTGGTTATTAGGTCAAGATCTATCTGCCCTGAAATTTTCAGATGACTCGGACAACCCGTTGTTGGGTTGCTGCCCCTGAATTGGCAATTTAAAGGAAATTTTGCCGTTTTTGGTTATTATCTTGAATATTATTATAGATATAGATAAACTATAAACAGCAATAATGTTCAGCAAAGTAAGATCTACAAATAAGTCAACTTGACCAAAATGGTCAGTTGATCCCTTAAGGAGTTATTGCCCTTTATAGGCAATTTTTAACCATTTTTCGTAAACTTTTGTAATCTTTTACAAAAAACTTCTCCTCTGAAACTACTTGGCCAAATTTACCCAAACTTGTTCACAATCATCATTGGGGTATCTAGTTTAAAAAATGTGTCCGGTGACCCGGCCAACTAACCAAGATGGCCGCCATAGCTAAACATAGAACATAGGGGTAAAATGTAGATTTTGGCTTATATCTCTGAAACCAAAGCATGTAGAGCAAATCTGACGATGATTTAATTGTTCATTAGGTCAAGATCTATCTGCCCTGAAATTTTTAGATGAATCGGACAACCCGTTGTTGGGTTTCTGCCCCTGAATTGGTAATTTAAAGGAAATTTTGCTGTTTTTGGGTATTATCTTGAATATTATTATAGATATAGATAAACTGTAAACAGCAATAATGTTCAGCAAAGTAAGATCTACAAATCAGTTAATTGACCAAAATGGTCAGTTGACCCCTTAAGGAGTTATTGCCCTTTATAGTCAATTTTTAACCATTTTTCGTAAATTTTTGTAATCTTTTACAAAAATCTTCTCCTCTGAAACTACAAAGACAAATTTAACCAAACTTGTCCACAATCATCATTAGGGTATCTAGTTTAAAAAATGTGTCCGATGACCCCGCCCCCGAACCAAGATGGCCGACATGGCTAGAAAATAGTACATAGGGTAAAATGCAGTTTTTGGCTCATATCTCTAAAAGCAAAGCATTTAGAGCAAATCTGACGATGATTTAATTGTTCATTAGGTCAAGATCTATCTGCCCTGAAATTTTCAGACCAATCAGGCAACACGTTGTTGGGTTGCTGCCCCTGAATTGGTAATTTTAAGAAAATTTTGCAGCTTTTGGTTATTATCTTGAATATTATTATAGATAGAGATAAACTGTAAACAGCAATAATGTACAGCGAAGTAAGATCTACAAATAAGTCAACATGACCAAAATTGTCAATTGATCTCTTAAGGAGTTATCGGCCTTTATAGTCAATTTTTTACAATTTTCATAAATTTTGTAAATTTTTGTAAATTTTTACAAAATATTTTCAACTGTAACTACTGGGCCAAGTTCATTATAGATAGAGATAATTGTAAGCAGCAAGAATGTTCAGTAAAGTAAGATCTACAAACACATCACCATCACCAAAACACAATTTTGTCATGAATCCATCTATGTCCTTTGTTTAATATGCACATAGACCAAGGTGAGCGACACAGGCTCTTTAGAGCCTCTGTTTTTATTTCTTGCGATGTGTAAATTTAAAACATCCACGGAATACTAACTTATACATGTAATACATAATAAGGGATCTCAGTGTATATGTTCATGAATACGCTTTATCAAGTTATAGGTATTGAACAAGGAATGTTCATAAATTAGCTTTAAGAATTCTGAATTACTAACTTCATATATTTCCATAGTTTAAAACAATAGTTTGTTTTCATAGGCAAAAAGAATGCAACGAAGAAAGCACAAAGGTATGTATGATATTTCTAATTCTAATATGACGTTCTTAATGCTTTGATTACACACCATTGCTACAATATGAGTATATTGATATGTTGGCTGATCGTCAACGCCATGGATTTTTTTGGCTGTTCCAACTACTTCCATGTCGTTTGAATTTTCTTTGTCTTTTACGTCAACTTTAATAGTGTGTTCAATTACGTGAACAGCAAACATATCCCTTCACTTGGAGTGCTTCGAATCAATCATACGATAGTTGAAAAATACGTATATATACGTGACCTGATGATACTGCAAATTTATCGGGAATCTTGAAAATCACGATTAAAAATACTTGATTTCTATCATGTTTCATCACCAATATATTATATGATACTGACAAAAATTCCAGTGTATTTCTTAAGTCCTGAAATTCCTAGTTTAAAAATGATCGACGAGTTTAAAAAAAAATCTCAATTTGACAACAAAACCCATTGAGTCGTTAAGATTCCTACGTCGAACTTCGTAGGTATGTCATTTTATTAGAAATTTCTAGTAGCACATGTAGTACAGATATCGCATATCATTACGCAAATTAAAAGTATAATGCTTTTTGTTTTCTGTGATATTTTTGTTCGATGTTTGTCTTTACAGTCATTCTTAATACATGCAATAGTGCAGACAACAAGATTTTAACGTTGAATTAAAAAAAAACCAGTTTTATTCCAAAGCATTTTATCACGTGTGTCGTATGATTTTTTTTTTCTTCGGAGCATGTGTTTTGGTCACTGAAATCGGAACCTCGTGAGGAAACGACAGATAAGAATCGTATAAAGTAATCTTACCAGTAATTATACATTATAAATTTGTATAGACATATAATATTTATGAACTAGTTTATATGTTGTAGTGATGAAAAACAACAATATGACGATGTTAGAATGGAAAATGTATCTACATATCAGGATCTTACGGAGGATTCCACGTCAAATGAATATGACCAGATAAACACTGCATACATCAATCACTAAGCAATAGATATATAATTCATCAGAGAAAACTCAATAGACTCAATTAGAATTTATATTGATTAACGGATATTCAGAGAACAGATTAAGACAGCGCAAACTCTATATACATAACTATATGTAAGCTATGTCAGTAATGAAACAGAAATGACTAAATATCCTATACACTTGAATATATTCACTTTTTTTCTGTTCTACTCAACCTAGTTTGGTTGTGATGAATGATTATTATAACTGTTCCTGCATAATACATACGCGTGTGTGTTCATATGTGTTTGTGTTTATGAGAGATACAGAGAGTTGAAAGAAATCTCATAACAAACTCGTAGTTAAATCCAAAAAGGTGTCAATTTCCAACGGGTTTGAATTATATTTTCTGTGGATACACTCGCGGCCGATTATCTGAATCTCCTTTTTAGAAAAAAGTTTATCTTGTATCTCATGCCATTCCAGTTTCGTCAGTTTCTTTCGTAATGCTTCCTATTTGTATAATAGTCTGGAGCATGTTTATAGATTGAAGAATAATAGGCAAAACTGATTATACATAGAGAAATAGTGGGTACTCAGAATATAGCTAAATGTGCAACGGAAATAAAGAAAAGAGGCAATGGCCTAAAATTCAAGCATACTGAAATAAGGAAACACCAAAAAGACCCTTATATTTAACAATCATTGCATTTCTGGTATACTTAAAGAACATTGTAAATCTTTTTCAATTGAAACCACGGTAAATGAGAAAATAAATATATGTATTTAATCCGAGTACACTAGAAATTCTTTTTTCTTATAAAATTTACTGTACCGAACTGGATATGTGCTACTTTGGTTCTAAAATCATCTAATGATGTGTAACAGTACATTCATACATACCCCTTTCCTCATAACTTGAGTTCTTTACACGTGTATTTTACATTCAGTAATCTTTTCAGTGTTTTTGAGACTTTATCCAATCAGAATATTTCATGTTTGCCATATTTCAGTGAAATAGCATGAAATTTAAAAAAATGAGAGTACACACTAGGTCATTGGGGCGTGTGCAAATTCCCTATTGATAAAGAAGACATTTTGTTGAATAAATTGGATGTGATTATTTTTCAGAGAAATACTTGTTATTTTTAAGCTTTACTGTCAAGTTTTATTAAAATCAGTTCAATAGTTGGAGAGAGATTTAGTATAATTAATGGAAGACGACATCTTCATCGATTTGAGGAAAATTTCTTCGAAAAATCAAAATCACGCCGCATCATGATATAATATAGTCTGAACCAATAAATTCACCAATAAATGATCTCAAATAGGCATCTAATCTGCATAAAAACAGTTGAATATGATACAAAAGATGACTCTTAGATGATAGTGTACATGTACCTCTTTGTCCCCACTAAAATGTACCTTTTTGACTATTTATACCTCTCATACCCTCAAAATTTTAACTTTTTAGGCTAATAAATTAAAATTTTGGGGTACTATCACGCATTCACGACGGTACTTATATCAATTATCTTTACCCCTTTTTATAGCAAAGGTATATCGTATGCAAGATGTATGTCCTTCCTCATATTTCTCTTATCAACGAATCCTCATTAACAACATCGATCAGTCACTTCAGTGGTCGTCAACGACGGCATCACCCAAACCAAACAAAGTGAGATGAGGCCAAGCTTAAAATATATTTTGTTTGCTGTTCCCCTACCGATAGATAATGAAAATGAGTAGGTAGGTATGAAAATATTTTGACAAAAACAGCATGAACAGTACATACATAACACCACCTAAATAAACATACACACATAAAACAGGTACAACCACAGAACATTGTATCCTGGCCTCAGACAGAAACATGCGAATATGGTGTGATTAAGTTACTTCATCGAGCCATGTGGCAAAATTATAAATAACAAACAATAAACATCAAATCAGAAAAGGCTAACATGTGTTACATTTATACAAAAATAATTTAATTTTGGATGTAACGCGTCTTCTGATTGGCTGACGTTGTTTTGTTTATCAGCTCATAGACATAATGTTGTCATGTGACTGACGTCATAAACGTTTTTTCATGGTTTACTCCGATTTAAAATGGAATTTAGAATTAAATTATAAGAAATGACTGTAATATTTTTTCTGTCCATTCGAAATGACATAAAAAATGTGGTGCACACTTTAAAATAACACGCTACGCGGGTTATTCAGTGTGTACCACATTTTTGATGTTATTTCTTCATAGACAGAAAATATATTACAGTCATTCCTTAAAGAAAATTGTTAGATTTAAGAAAAGTAAAAGTATAATCTTCGAAGTGCTCATAATATCTGTCTATGAGCTCGGGAACCTTATCTATAATATAACAACGTATAAAAAAAGTTATGACATTATCAATAGTTGTTCCAATGAAATACATATGGCAAAGATTATATGAGAACATTATAGCTACACATGTATATAGTTATAAACCAAACCAAAATTATAGACTGAAATAGGCATTTGGGGCAAACAAAGGGGAGCACAACTATCTTTAACTTGCTATAATTTATTGTTCGGCTACGAATTTCCTGATTAAATCAACTGCATATAAATATTTAGCTAAGGGGTTAATTCTTTTGGTAACATTTTGAAATCTTGGATGAATATTTAAAACAAGACCATATCAGTCCTTTACAATGAGACAACCGAATGAAGGTCAACAGTTAACAACCTTTCCATTACATAACTAGGGCCCTTGGAATTATAAAATGTCATAAATATGGTGCATGCCTGATGTGTCGCCATGCCTACAGATATTGAGCTAAAATTTGACTTGTAGGATTAAAATCATAAGTTACAGACTATTTTTTTGTATCATTTCGGTTTACTAACTATTAAGAGAATCATGGTCCTTGGACTTACGCTCAAATGTGTTGTGCAAGTGTATAATGATGAGTTACAAATAGAGATAAAGTTTCCATCCAAATGAACTACTGCTAACGGAATTACTGCCCTCAGATCCTGGACATGGACATAGACAATTTCATGACAATGGTGTTATAATTGTGTTGGTTTCTATATATATATTATATATGGATCTATATACCTGCAGCGGATTGAAATCATAGTAGTTGCAGGTCCAGGCCGTATCAAACATTGTGTATGTATCAGATAAGTATTAATTGGACAGTTTTCGTGACAAGCAAAGGTAACACTACCCAAGTGAAACTCCCTCTTTTGTGGATTGTATCTGGTGTAGTGGTTACAACCTCCGTCTTTAAATGCTAGGCTCATCGTTATCGAAGGATGTGAAAAATTGTTGTGATTTCTTCTATCGAGAGATGATGACTTTAAAATCTGTGTGTACAGACAATTTTGAGGGTATAATTTACTATGACATAGTTTTGTTAAACTATTAAGCCTCTATATATATTTATGTCATCGTTTATTCTGATAAATGTAAACCGAATAAATCTATACTTCATAGATAATGATAAGTATTAGAAGTTGGAAAATAGGAGTAGGTACAGACCTAATCAGAAAATTGTTCGGTCAAATAAGGATAATTAGCTCCCAAGTTTTTGTTTTTTTTCAAAGCTGGTGATAATGGACACTTTAAGCAACGTTTTATTTCAATTTTATGTCGCACTACAGCTGATTCATTTAAACTTGCATCTATTGCATTAAAAAAACTAGATAACTCTTTAATATTGTAAAAATATGATACAAATAGAAAAAGAGTACTAAATTAAATAACAGCGAAGTATAACGTTTTAAGAAATCTTACTTTCAAATTAAAACTAAAAATTTCGAAAAGATTACATAAACAACTTCCTTTTAGCATCAACATAGGGTTGCAATATATCAATTGTTTATTCTGTTTGTTTCTATCAATTGTTTTTACATTTCTTTATATTTGAGAGTTGGGTTTAGAAATATTTTCCAAACCCTCTTCTTTTATGGAATTCATTTGATCTTTTAATGAACATTTATCAATATATAAAGCTGTCGGTTGAATTTTTGCCTTTCTTTTCGTTGTAGGGCAGAACATATTGAAAATTTTCTCGGATAGCCGTTAAACGAAAGATCTATTCATCATTGTAAACGGAAGTTTATTTATTAATCTCTTTAATAATGTATACTTCAATTATCCTGTTGTTTTTATTTGTTATTTTGGTTTTAATGATAATTCTTGGATATTGAGAAAGACTGCAAATAATTTTGCACCGGTTTTTAACCTACAAATAATTTGACCGTTTTTCCCAAGTGTGTTGGACAGGGAAACCGGCGTCTGTAAGTTCAGCAGCAGGCTGAATATTTCTTCTGAGATCGCCCCCAGTTTTTGGTGGGGTTCGTGTTGTTCAGTCTTTAGTTTTCCATGTTGTGTCTTGTGTACTGTTGTTTGTCTGTTGGCCTTTTCCTTTTTTAACCATGGCGTTTTCAGTTTATTTTCGACTTATGAGTCTGAAGGTCTCTTTGGTATCTTTCGCCTGTCTTTTACTAATACATATAACATTTATGCGAGAGGTAAAAAAAACATTCTTAGGAATGTTTGGTTATTTTTGAGTGTGAATATAAAAATATAACAACACTGGCGCACATCTCCTTTAGAGGTATTCGTTAATTCAATGAAATTGAGATAACAGTCCTGTTTGGCATGTCTAGAAATACTGTATTTCTGTGAAGAAACATGTTTATACAGAAGTTAAAATCAATGGGAAATCATTTTAAAGCATTTTCATGAAACCTATTTACACAAGAAGATTGAAAAGCTGTAAGTCATATTAGTCTAACAGTGAATAATGACCTAAATGAAAATCTAGTATTTAACTTTTTTACCAAATGCTAGCATGGAAAAAAAAAGAACGTTGAGGTGCTAACAAGCACATACTGATCTACCACATTGCCTACATGCTTGCGATTCTTAATAACCAACTTAGTTCCAAAAACGGCAACCTAAACAGAACAAAACCAAAGATTACCTGTTCAATTTGCAGGAGCTCAGCTATATACACTTGTTCTTAGCAGCAGAAAGCATACGATTAAAGAACAGCGTGTCATCCTCAACTGTTGCCTGCAACTCAATCTATACTTTCAAGAGTAAGTTGCAAAGACATGCATGACAAAGCTGCGATTAGAACTGACTGCGATATTTAAATGTGAATAATGCTTTTTTACTGCACTTTACATAAATCATTTGTTTACACAACGCTCAACACAACAAGTTCGATTATACGTCTGTTGGTGAAGTGGACTGTTTATTTTGGAAGGAAGAAGTAGAAGATGATGAAGTGCATTTACTGTACATTGAGGAAGAGTTGATTTGAATATAGAAAAGTTTGAAGTTTTAGTTTAACTTTTGAAAAATTGTGTTTACCAGTACAATAAAGTCGTTCAAGAGAAAAAAAAAAAACGGATAGAACTATCCTAACATGTTTCATAAAGTCTCATTATAATCATTTTCAATCGGCTGTTTTTAGAGTGCAGTTAAATCGTCAGATTATGGGGAAAAAGGGAATAATTTTATAACTGAATGAATGCGTATATTGAGCCTGTGGCAAAATAATTCTATTTATTAAGGAATTACTTTTCTAGTTTTTACTTTATTAAATACCTCAATGCAATGCTACTAAACACGCGAACGATAGGATCGGAAGCATAAGTTTTTTTTACTTCCACTGAAACAGTAGTGCCGCAGATAGACTGCCAGTCATTCATTGGCGGTTATACAGAACGAAGCAAATTATTAATGCAAAGGCATTTTTAAAAATCATTTATAAACCGGTTCTTAAGGGTACTATCCGACCATGGCAAGTAGCAAGTGGTTAGGGGTGTCTGCAGAATTTAGATAACACTACAATTATCCAGTTAATCTATTGTGAATGCAGTAACACTTAGCTCGTACATCACTCAGCTAATTTCAGGGGGCTGTCTACAAACTTTAGAACTCTTTTTTTTAAGTTGAAGCTCTCAAATTGTTGATATGTTTTGCCCTCAAAGAACCTTAGTCTCGAGAGATTTAATGTTGCGATTTCAGGAAAATCTGCATACAGATACATGTATAAGATGTCAGAATGTGAGTTTTTATTATTGCAATAATCACCTAGCCGTATTATTAGAATTCATAAAAACTCGCAACAATTTCTGAATTTACAGTATATAAATTCTGAGCCATGGCATGTTTGTAGAGGATTTT